AATGCTGTCTAAAATTCTTCATCTTCGATGAAAACAAGATCGTGAGTTTGCCTTTCTCTAAGTTTTTTCCTTGGTAATCAATCATACGCGATGAAATCGATAGCCGTCACATGAGTTTAAAGTTGATGCTACGGAGAATGATCGTTTTTCGGAGCTGATCCAACTAATTTGCATGCGGTCATGCGCCGGTTCGGGGTAGTAATGGGTTGGGGTCATAGTTTTGACTAGACTCGTTGTTCTTTTGCAAAACTTACACTCTCGTTTTGTATGTTAGGTAAGATGTGAACTAACCTGGCTCCAAGCTAATCAGTGAAATTTCAGCGGAAGGACGCCTTGCTAGGCTCAGTTGAATTTGATTTATCGACGGAGAATATCCCGAACGAAACTAGGCCTCCATCTGTTTATCCCTTAAAAGGCGGACGTCATAGGCAGGTTATTTATGAGAGTTCGAATTCAGGCTACCAGTATGATATTTTCAGGAATATTGGTAGTCTTTGGATAGGAATGCACTATCTGCCACCGGATCAATCGCCCAGCGAATCTACAAGTGACTTACAAGTGAACAGTTCTATACCTGAAGGTATCAGCTATAGTAATTTTGTTTTTAATTTTTCTTACCCCTTTCAAAATCAGGTTGGGAAGAACGTGAAGATGCAAATGGTCGTACATTCTATGTCAACCATCGGGAACGTACCACACATTGGGAGAGACCATCGCAGCTGAGTGCAGTGTAAGCTTTTATTTGATTTTTTGATGATGAGCTCAAGCAAATTTTTTATTTGCTTTTCTATTTTATCGCTTTCGATCTTTCTTTCTAATGTATCTGGAACATCTGCTGATATGCATATTTGCGCTGTGATATTTCATTCCCTTTTGCACAAGTGCGGGCGTTCTTGAAGATTAGTTACAAAGCAGCCTTAATGTTTGTTTCATTTTTTCTGTCGCACACACCAGTTTTGGTAGTATGTTTTTAGTACCGTGTCTACTTTTGATGATCTGTTGTCATTGC